CCACTGCTCGATCTTCTCATCTCGATGCCGCCATCATTGCGCATACAGTGGCGCATACCACTGCGCTACAGTGGTGCCCACACTATGTGCGTGACTTCCGATAATTAACTTCCAATATGTAGATGGAGTCATGTTTAGCACTTACGTTACATTTTATTTTCATCGAAGTTGAAGGAGCTCTGGAAGACGGTCCAAGGTAATGAAGGTATGGCTCCACGACAGGATGGTGAAATTCGCGTAACTGTGAAACGTGGTAAAGGGAGTGAAAAATCCCTGCCCACTGGGCCACTGACCTGTGGCTGTCAATGAGGTGTCACAAAAAAGTCTGTAAACCACTGATCTAGTACACCATTTTAAAGGGAATAGAATAGAAGTGTTGGCACTGAAAAAATAGGCTCATTGCCTGTTGCCGATTCTTGAATTTTTTGTGACTTGATTCAATAACTAATACTTTTTCTAAATGATGGGAGCGAAAAATTTTTGGATTCAAGTTAGTTAGTTTAGTGGCCAAATTTTTACTAGCGTTTCAGCAATTTAGCTATCTCGCACCGAAAGTCAAGATAAACATCACCAAGGAGGTGAAAGGACTCAGTTATCGAAAGATTCTCAAATCAAAAATTGTGTTCATCACCCACAAAGGGGGCAAAAGGTCTCAATTGTCCAGCCCGCTGAAACTGGCTCGAAAGAAGCAGCGTTAGCATCTCAAAGAGACGAAGTGATAAGTAGGGACAGGTAACTAGCAACAGAAACGAAGACACTCGAACAAGAGCTCGCTTACGCGGGACGCTGGTCGCCCGCACGAATGAGACAGAGAAGGGAAATGTAAGGAATCCTACCTACTTAATAACTTAATGTAAGGGATCCTACCTACATAATAACTTAATGTAAGGAATCCTACCTACATGATAACTTAATGTAAGGAATCCTACCTACATAATAACTTAACCCCACAACAGAGACCTGCAGTCAGACTCAGCGAGTTCAGCGGTGGGGCGCTCAGGAACAATCCCCCTAGGAGCGCGAAATTCCATAGGGCTTCTGCCGAGCACAGACACGCGTCAGAAACTTCTAGAACAAAAAAAAAAAAAAACAATCACAGAATTAAATGTTAGTAAGTAAACGAGGATGATGGATTACATATTGAAAAAAGCCTGTAACTGTCATGCAAGAGGATAGCTTCTCGATACTCCAACAGCACAGGGAGAGGTTGGGTTTTCAGGAATATTTACCAATGAAATGCATTGTTCGGATAAGAATTGTGTACTTTGCATGACAAATTACGAAGACAAAACATCGCAACTATAATGGCTGGTTTGGGGCGAATAAAGCACGCTTTTAAAGGGTTAGAAAGCAAAGTTAACTCTAAAACACATTCATTTATAATGTTCATAGTATATAAGTACATCCGCTACTTCCACAATAATAAGGAATTGCCATGAGCTTATAAAATTAAGACATTTAATACAAGAAAACTTGAATAAATTGCCAATATAAATTTCACGATGATTTTATGCAGTCATACTACCTATGCCTATGGACGGATTGAATGCCTTTCCCGCCTTATAGGCTCAACAGAAATATCAAGCGTGTATTTGTAAATATTACTATAGTTTTTTGGATTAGAATATAAACATTTTAAACATAATAAATAGTTCGATAAATGCTTGTATTAACTATTGCTTCAGGACTGAAGGAATTTTTTTTTTAAATGATCAGTCTTCATTTCCCAGTATCTCATGTATATGATGAACATCAAAATACACATTTGCACAAAAACAAAACAACATGGCATTTTGAAAAGCCCAAAAGATCTGATCATCGGTGCTGCGTCCTGTACTTATTGCAGAGATGTCGATGTGAGATGGAGCGCGAACAGAGAAACAGGAAATATGCGCGGTACTTTCGACACACAAGTGTAATCCTAGAAGGTGTATTCAATAATAAAAATTTAAAATCAAAGCATTATTCATTAATAAAAGCAATTTGAAACTCATAAAGTTTATGACTTGTTTCACAAGTAATCTAGAATCTCTATCATCGTTTCATTTTCTCGTTCAATTGAGAGAAAATGACAATCCGATTTAATGCACTTAATTGTGGAAACAAAATGACTTTCGATAAACCTAGAGGGAAAGTCGAAAAAGCTGGCAATATCTGGCCCATAGATACAGCAAACCTGAGGCGCAGCGGGCAAGTCAGTATTCGGCATTAAGTTAGGTTCAGAAACTCGTAATCAACACAACAGAATCATCATTCTATAAACCGCGTGCGTATGACGATCGCGGCTTTTGCAAAGAAATTATATTTATAATCATCAGTTCAGAGCACAAACCTTAATCAAATATTTCTTCAGGATCAGATCTATAGCAACGATACACAATGGAACAATTTCATGTGTAAAATATGCAGTGCACAAAATCCATAAAATTGCTTACATGAGAAGAATAAAATCATTTGTCAAGCGAGCCGAAGTGCAGTAATGGCAGAAAGTTGAATTGAGCTACGAAACAAGCGCTGTCGCACCATAACAATAATTCATAGCAAATATTTCATAAGCAGCACAATGAGCACAATGTTCACTAGCAAGCCAGTTATGAAGCTATTTTGCACAGATTGAATCAAAATAAACATATGAAGCACATCTTCAAGATCGCAATACTGCGAATATTAATAAAAAATTATTCATTGCCCACAAGCCGCGTCAGCATCTCAGGTGAAGAAGGCACAGGCGAACAGCCATAGTCACTCGTACAAGAGATCAATTGCAGGAGACGGCGGCTGTCCGCACGAGACAGCGAAGAGAAGTGCAAAAATCCTGCCTACGCGACAGCTTGACCTCACAAAAATGACCAGGATGCACACGCTGCCTGCAATATAGTGGTCACGCAGCTAAAATTCTCATGGCAGCGCGGAATGATATTCGCGGTCGCATGAGAAGCTCACAGGATTTGATCATCTGATAATACGCCCGAGAAAAACTTGTGCATAAAACAGTGCTAATTCGTGACCCAAAGCGAGCATGTTATAGTTAGTATATAAAGATGATTATAGCTAGAAACACATAAAATATATTGCGTGCGTAAACTTGACAGCTAAAAAATAAAGTTTGGTAATTGAAGAACCAAACGAGCACACCACGCAGGCTATGAATATACATACCAACACCCATGCTTAGAAAGCAGCACGCAACACGAAGAACTAAAATTGTGAGGAAGTCCTGATTTCCCAATATGAACTCAAGATATATATGAGGAATTAGTAACCATCAACATATTTCAATTAGTCATATAAGTAAGTTCAAAATGAAACTTTGCGGTAAAGCTGATTCGTCGATACGAAAGGTGAGCTCATAACAGCACTTAACCGTGTAAGTTACCAGAACAATTATAGCAATTGCAGAGACCTTACAAAATTTCACAGACCTTACAAAAACATTAGTCGCAACTAGATAGTCCGAGTTCACTTCTGATGGAATGATCGAGCATAATATCATGAGATTCTTGACGAACAATGAATTTAAAATTAATATTGCACTTCACGTTAGAAAAACAAAAACACATATCAGATTAGAACAATTAGTGTAATGTCGCATTACAGAATATAGTACGACAAATGCACTTCTACTGACAGGTTCATTTAATTGGGGGATACTGCATAGTGCCTCGTTCTACGTGAACGGCCGTCGTACGCTCAGAGCGTTCAGTGTCGCGTTTTGCGTAGCGGCTGTTTACACGCTAACATGAGAGGGTTTCAGGTGTTGAACTGATGCATTCAACAGAGTCGTTCAATTGGGGTGTTTAACAGGGGAGTTAAACAAAGGAATTCAACCGAGGTTATCAACAGGGGAGTTAAACAGAGGGGTTCAACAGAGGTGTTCAACAGAGGTGTACAAAAAGAGAGTTAAACAGAGAAGTTCAACAGGGGGGTTTGACGACTGGATGTCATGCTGGAGGAAATAGCCTGCTAGTTAACTGCCATATATAAGAGGAATTTCCTTTCCCAAGTTTTTCGTCCCAACAAATATTAATTTATATTTTTCTGTCTTAATAGCAATGACTGTTTCATGGATCTCCAAAATGAAGAAAATATTGCAAAATATATTCTCTTCTTCTGGCAACATGGGAGTGTTTACAAAGAATTCCTAGATTAATTTTAAAAATGAAAAAGATTAATATGTAGTAAAAATAAATTAGAATTGTCACATCGCCTCGTTGACAATACATTGGGCCCGACGTTCATAAATTTTATCTGGGATATTTCTCGTCAAATTTAGGCCTTACACACATGGCTAGCCGATAATAGCTAATGTTTATAATAAAAAAAATACAGCCACGTCATCAGACAATAAGTTCGTGGACAAGAAATAATTAAAACTTAAATTTATAATAGGGATAATGGAGATTCTAAAGTACAGATAAAACTCTAACCGATGTTAGAGCTTTACCACACATACCACATCCAGGCTCGGTTCAGTTGCGGCAGTGGAGGCCATGCCAGACATTTTTGGTAACACTCTTTTCATTTAACATAGGAATTTCTGAAGCGTTTCCGTCGATTACTGAAGCGTCGATGGAAGGCCATGTTGCAGGTTTAAACCTGCATGCATCTGAGCCCGCGGTTCTTGCGCAAACTACAGCAGAAAAAGTCGATACTAAACAAGCAAAGTAAGTGCCTAGATCTACAAGAGGCTAGTGGGAATTCGATAGTTTAACTCTAATTGCTCAGATGAATGGTCGGTTCGATGTAGTTATCAGGTTCTTTGTTTTTAAACTGTAGACAAATCAAACACTAAATAAAATTTGAATGAAAAAAGCGCCCTGCCATGAAATTGCCGCAAAAAAAAAAAATATATATATAATTATATATATATTTGCTGAATGACAAAAATGGAAAAATGTTCTAAATGTTCTAAAATAATATATCTTCATACCTATTTATAAATTAATTGATTTTTAAAATAAATGTGTGGAAAACATTGTTTTAATAGAGCTTGTCTTCAGTGACAAAAACACTTCAGTTTAAATGAAAACAAACCTTGTCACAATATTGCATTAGTTCACATCCACGGCGCATGATGGAAACATTTCATTGCACGCAGAAAATAATCACTGAAATAAAATTTTATATTTTTTGAGAGGACAAATTTTGTTATTGCAGTCGATGAACGTCTCACCAACTTCCGTTCCCTGTTAGCTAATGCATGAAGATTGAAGAAGGATGGATGGAAGGAGCGTCGTTGTCCTGGCCGCAGGACATCGCGAGTTATACTCAACACGGATGCTTTAACTTGCTGCCACACACTTGATGATTGAAGTAAGAGAGTGGAAATAGAGACAATTATTTCTTTACCAACCAACAAGTAACAACACACCATGACGTCAACGGCCAGAATACAAAACCTGAATAGAACGTTCCAGTCTCACAACCCCTAAGAGATCAATGTAAATCCAGAATCTTAAATAAAACGCTTCCTATAGGCAGACCGCAAATACATTTTCATAAAATTCTGTTTAAATTTTATGACAAATAAGCAGCCACTTAAGCCTATTGCAAGGCTATGCAGTTGAGCATTAAAATACATCAAACTTCTTCAAGTCATCATTCAAGCTGAAGGAATAAATATCATTGCGTAAAATGGAGGAAAGCGTGAACCATTCGCATAGGTTGCCGGTAATATTGCAGGGAAATAAATGCGTGTCGACGAGTTAAAAGAACTAGATTAGAGAAAACTGGAGGCAGTCTGAGATGAACAAACGTCAGCCTTTATTTGAATTGAATCAACTTATTTCATGAGCAAATGAGTGCATACGCTAAATAGGCGCAAAATGGAGAAGCTAACAAGAGATTTAAGACTTAAGAGCATGTTGACATGGTTCAGCAAACTCAGCATACTAACTCCAGGTGAAAAATTTACTTACTATGTAGGGGGCATGCATGCAAATTTACAATATAATATAGGGCTTTATAAGCGTTACATACTCTCTGACTTATCTAAATATACCATACATTCTTCATTACTGAGATATGACATATCATTACGCTTATTATTGTCTTCAATTGTTACAGTGATACGTACCTAGTACATAGATAAAACCATAGCAGAACCAACGATCTCTGAACATTCGAGTGGAATTCTATTATGAATATCAGTTAATTACAGGCACAATGATTCCTTGACATGTCACTCTGACTGTCGGTTTTCTACCATCACAATTTCCCCATTATTGTTTCCTATAACATCACAGTTATTGTCTTTATCACAATAGTTATCCAGCCCCGAAATTGCACCGGAGTGCAGTGTAGTGGCGACTGACGTTCCGCCTCCGACAGTAGTGCAAGAGGCAGGTTGAGCACCTGCTGTGGCGAGTGCTGTGAGCTGCTGCACTTGCTGCGTAAGCATGTCCACGTCACGGTGTAGGTTGATGTTCTTCAGCAGCGTCTCCTCCAGTAGCGCCTGTAGGCGACGGTTCATCTCCTTGTTGGCCTCCTCTTTGCTGCCGGTCGCCATCTCTGCCACGTTCCCGGCGACGCCCTCGCCCACCTCGCGCAGGCGCGACAGCACCTTGCGCACCCCCGTGGGCGTTTCCCCGGCCCCAGGACCCAGTCGCGTGGCTCGCGGTGATGGACTTGCTGCAGGATTCACATGAGGCAGTTAACATCAAAGTTATATAGTTATGGTTATATGGAATATTTCCATTTAATATAAATGTAATATTTCCATATCCATATGGTTATGTAGAAATGGTAATAACTCAGGCTTCAAATGACTCGAGTACAGGTTTACAGATACACATTTAATTCATGCAAAACGTCAGCAATGATAGAAACCTAATTCATAACGTAAACATACGTTGTTGGGGCTCACGTGCATAGTGACATATCAATGTCAGTTACGAAATTACCTGATCTAAAGAAAAGCATAGAATTAGATTCGACGTTGAATGAATGTAACAACATGTCTAACCTCGACTGCAAACACAACTGCATATAAAAAATATATGTGAACTGAATAAATATATATAAATCGTATATGAAAATACAAGAACCTCGGGCGCAGTAGTGCTGGATGATGTTGGACTTGGTGAGGAGGTCCTGAGCCATGGCGGCGGCGGACGCCTCGAGGTGCTGGATCTGCTCCTCCTTCTGCCAGTTGGCGTTCTGGAGGGCGGCGAGGCGCGCCAGCAGCTCTGAGGTGTCGCTGCTGCACTCGCTCTTGTTGCTGCTGTGGCTCGGCGACTGTACACACAATTAGGCTCATGGACTTGCTACAGCAACTATCAGGGACACAGCGTTTAATTTTTAGAGTTATACGATAACAAAGTTAATTTATAATCAGAGACTCTTTCAATGCGCCAGGTAAATTTGAAGTGTGCATACTTTAAAATTCAGAGGCATATTCAATTAGAAAATTTAAAAACTTTCAAATCCCGTGAATTACCCACAAAAAAAACTACAGTTCTAAGGATCTAGCTTCGAGTCAATGACTCACGAGTAAACAAGTTATGTTAAAAAATTTTAATTCATTAGTAGAATCAGATGCAAAATGACTGATAAAGTACTATTTTAATGAGAATAATTACCTTTTCATCAAAATAAAACTATATATTTGCTGAAAAGTAATCAAGAATTCAAGAATCGAATAAGAAATAGTTAAAGCGTTTCGTTACGTGAATATTACTAGTTTACAATTGATGTCAAAAAGCATAGTCTAATTTATGTTCTCTAGTTCAGGAAAGATAGTAGCCAGGGAAAGATGCAGGCGTGTGTGGGAGAGAGAGACCTGCGTGGCGTCGGTGGGCCGCTGGTCGCCCGACACCATCGACCAGGACGACACGCTGCTCACGTCGTCACCCGCGTCAGACACAGAGCCTGGCCACAGGGGAGACATTAGTGTTGTAGTGGTGCAGCTCTTAGTGCGACGCAACAGTCATTTACGAAGTGAGAGTAAATTATTTTGAAACATAGTATTGATAGCAGCACGATGTAATCATATTACCAATATATATATATATATTTCACGGATCCTGCAGGCTTATTTTTCTTCAAATCATGAATGCAAAGGTTGGACGAACTCCTCATCCGATATTATTACCTTTACTCATACGTGCCACGAAATAAAATCACTTTAAAAATGTTACCGTGAAGATTATATATTCAGTTAGACCTCCCACAATATTCTAGATACAAATAACAAATATTTGACTGACTTGAGAAGCCGGCAATAAGAGAAGGGTCGGCGAGGACCTGGGCGAGCTTGTCCTGGAGTTTGTCAGCGCGGCGGCGCTCGGCCGAGAGTTGCTTCTTCAGGTCCTTGAGCAGCGATGCGCCCCGACGCTCGTGGATCACGCGATCTTCACGGGCGTCGTTCACCTCAAACACAAACGACGCGTTAACTCTCCTGCTGTCACTAGCAGGCCGGGACTAATGCTAGGATTATTGCCGTTGCTTGTTTCGCTCACCTCACACACAAACAACTCGTCAACACTCCTGCTGCCGCCACTAGCAGGCGGGACAAATGCTAGGATTATTGCAGCTGCTTGTTTTGTTTACCAAAAACACCAACTACGTGTTAACACTCCTTCCGTCACTATCAGACGGGACTAATGCTAGGATTAATGCCGCTGCTTGTTTCGTTCACCTGAAACACAAACGACGTGTTAACATTTCTGCCGTCACTAGTAGGCGGGACTAATGCTAGGATTAATGTCGCTGCTTGTTTCGTTCAGTTCAGTAAACCATCAAGCCCAAGAAGCTTTAAAATGACCTACGAGCGGATCAGCAGAATTGAAGAAGGGAGACGTGAATAACAACAGATGGGAAGGTTAATTGAAGCCTAGACGAAGAAGGAAATGGTACAATAGCAGCAAAAGTGAATATGCCAATACAAGCGGTCACCCGCACTAGTGAAATAGCGGGGTTAGGAGAAAAAGTCATGCAACAGCTCGACCCTACAACTGAGACTTGCACATAATACGAGTTCAAGGCTGTGCGATACGCAATACCTCATAATCCTTGTACAAGCCACTGGAACAATGCCCTTAGGAACGCAATGTGTCATTAACCTTCTAATTACTAAGTCCCAAGCCAGACGCCTCCCTTGAGATGCGGCCATAACTATACCAATAATTCCTGGTGCAGCTATAGCAGCATAAGTTATAATAATATCGTAAAAATGTAGTCATTTTTCAGTTGCATTACCTTATTCTTTCCTTACCTTATAAATATAGTAAAGCGTAGTAAAGTATGGGCAAGCACATATCCCTAAATTAAAGAATACAATTATTGTGCTTGGCAAAGGAAAAATGAGCATTGCAATTATAAATGAAGTTGAACATATTGACAAGATGCCTCACATGGAATGTATTTTAAACTTGTAATGAAGAAGTAGGAATCGTTGAACAATTACATTAACATAAGTTATGTTCTGCCAATTATTAAAGGTCAGAAAAGTTCAACAGCAAATGCTTAAAAGTAACAGGGTTCAACAGTACCAAGAACCCAGAGCGTTACCTGCTTCTGCAGGTCGGCAATTTTATCCTCCAGCTCCTGTCTCTGGATGGAGCTGATCTCGAGCTCGGTAGTAAAGGCCTGCAAGTGAGCCAGAGAAACTTGTCATTAGAATAAAAACTCAGCGGTCACTTCGCCTTATTAGCACTCAGCTGACTACTCAGGGTCACCCTCAGCTATCATTTGCCACCAGCACTGCAATAACTTCTGATATAGGCTAGATTCGGCAGTTAAGTCTACAGGCTGAACTCTACAGACTCAAACGTGGTGTCTATGATACGGCGATATCGCCTACGGTCCTATTCATGTGAACGAAGAAACGATCCTAAAATCCTAATACCAATGCAAATGAAAAAAATAATCCTAAAATCCTAAAATAACCGATAGAAACAACAATATACTGTCGTTTAACCAATCACATAATTCGTACAGATGAATAGTCAGGTATGGTTTAACAATTAAGTGTATGACATATTCCAAGACGTACCTGCTTTTGATTAGCAGCCTGTTCTTCAAGATGTCTCGCTAAGACCAAATTCTCGGCTTGAATTTTCTCCTTCTCGACGTGCCAGAACTCCTTTAGAGACGCTATCTCGTCCTCGAACTGCGCGGCGCGTTCTTGCGCCATGCTCCTCTCGCGCTCCAGCCGCGCCGCGTCCTCCTTCAGGGCCTCCAGCTCCTTCTTCAGCTCCGAGCACTGAGCCTGCGAAATAACAATTCGGTCATTACGGAATGTTTTACCACAATACCTATCAGATGCTAAAATAATTCCAACAGGATAGGGACCCGTCAACTTACTAATTGGAACTATACTTCGGTGAAGGGAATTGCAATACGAAGCCTTTTTAGTCCGATTCATCGGAACTTGAAGAGCAAAAATGAAAGATTGAACTTTTGAATGAAGGCTAAAGCTATCATTCAATAAATGAGAGCGGCTGGTATTCCTCGCACAGCAAGATGTCAAGTACAAAAACTCTGTAAACTAAAGACGTGTTCTGTGACTGTAGTAGCACGGCTCATTAGTGATGAGACCCACTGGTTGGGATATGAACTACGCATGAGGGTTGCAATAAGTGACGAGCACTACAACCTTCAACATTTTGTTTGGGTGACACGGGCTGGTGTGCCGGCAAATTCAAACTCGGTCACAGTAAATACGGAGAGCAATAATTTAATAACTATTAATTTAGGGAAAAAAATTATCGATGGAACTAAACAAAATTTTAATTTGAACATTCAAGTAAATAAATCGCCCTTAAGAGCCATGTTTAATTATGTATACAATTTTTAAAATCAGAAATGTTCGCGAACTATTTTCTCAAGTACATGAGTAGGTACACGAAAGCGCGGCACAAATCTGAAGTCAATGCATTATGCTATCATTTATAGCTTTGGTATTCTAAGGACAAAAGCACAAGACCTTATATTGGTCGAGCAGCTCGCGGTGCTGCGCCTGCTGCTCCTTTATCTTGTGCTGCGCCTCCTGCAGCTGCCGTCGCGCCTCCTGCAGCTCAGTTCCCAGGGCCGCGACGACGCTCTGCTCGCTCCCCAAGTCCTGCACGCGGGAAGCAGCTAGGTTCGGCCGTGTAAAGTGTCGGCCACAACACACAAAAAGTTTGAATAACTGACAAAAAATTTTAAAATAACTGAAGATAAAATAATGGTATGTGTGGTTCCTAAGGCTGAATTTGCTCTGCTCGCGCGCCAACTGCTGCACGCGGGAAGTAAGTTGGCTCCGCCGTGTAAAGTGGCAACCAAAACACAAAATGTATGATTAACTGACATAAATGCAAGAATAAATGAAGATAAAAGAACGGTATGTGTGTTCCCAAGGCTGAATTTGCTCAGCTTGCCTCCAGAGCTTCTATAAGCTAGCCTGGCTTCTGAACAGCATAACTATTAGGATAAAACGTACATAAAAAAACTTAAACCTATTTGATGTATCAAGATGAGCTCAAACAAATATATGGTAATAAATTGAATGTTTATTATAATTAAATTAAGAAAAAACTCGATTGGATGTTTAATGAATAGCACAGTTGTCTACTGTGTAACTTACTGTTTTAAGTGATTCCACTTCACTTTGAAGCTGGTGTTTGGAAGCGTCGCTCTGTAACAGCTGACGCTCAGCTGTGTCCTTCAGTTCAGTCGCAAGATTAAGTTGCTCTCGTAACTCCGCTTCGGAATTCTGCTTGTCTTCTAGCTGCTTCTGTAAGTCTGGAACACGAACATTATTATAAAAAGCATTGTTTGCATCCTCAAAATATAGAACAATTCAAGCTTAGGCTCTTCGCAGAGTTTCATTAGTGAAACCAATCATCATAGATACCTACAAGTATTAAGATCAATTCATTCCTTACATTGCAAATCAACCAAGAATTCAAAAGCTAATAAATGCGCAATAAAAACCATTAAAAGTTTTAGGACGCTTGGAAAATATTTTTGTCATGAAACTTGAATGAATTAAATAAAAATTGCATGATCTCATGTCCACATTGTTACGCTTTTATTGTGCTAAGAAAATAAGACGCTTTTATTAAGCAAAGAAAATAAGATGTTTACCAAGTGTGAGCTGTTGCTCAGCCTGCAGCCTGAGGTGGGACTCGTCAAGAGCAGCACTAGCCCGCTGAGAGGCAGACTGCGCTTCTGAGACCTGATATGAACAAGATATTGTCATGTTGGTTAGAGCAGCGAGAGGTTACCTACTGAGGTGTTGTGGATTTTTTTTTATTAGAAAAAATCACTTTGAACGTGGTAAGGTATTAAGAAAATTCAACTCAAATGTGGGATCATGGAAATTATTTGAAATAAAATACAGAACGAACATGGTTCATTACATTGAAATATGACTATTTTCGGGAATAAAATAGAGAAAAGAATGAAAATTTTCATAAAATTTAGGCTTGCAATTTTCAAGGGGCCGTAAAGCTCGTCAGTATTTTAATTTTTTATGTAAAAATATGTACGAGTATTTAAATATATAGAAGATATTCCAAAATAATTAAATGCAAGTTAATCATTTAAACATAAGATAGTAAGGCAGACCTGAGCAGCAAGCTCGTCAGCCCTGCTCGTAGCGTCACGCAGCCGCGCCTCGCACTCCTGTAGTCGCGCCTCTGCTGCCCTGAGAACAAAATTAAACTTACTTATATGATCACGCCACTGATTTCAATAGAAATGACTAAAGCTTATGTTAATATTTAATAAATAAGCAGTCGTTCTTGTCGTCCGCAGTATCCTTGATACTCAACTAGTGATAGCCATGGTCAAAGTCAGTTGGTGCAATAGAATTTTTTAAAGTGTTTTAAATTCGAAGTCCAAATTTAATAGTGACATATTCATACAATTTTGTCATGATTATTGTATCTAGTCTATATACAAGCATGCATTTAAATAATCCAGGATTCAATGGATACTCAGACAAGAATACTAGTGTCCAGGGGCCATACTTTCAAAATTGGCTAAGTTAACGTAAGTCCCTACACTCTATTTTCTTGTCTATGAATGGTGGATTTTGCTTAAAATGCCGTTAATGATTGGCTGATGAATTTGTAATCATCAACTTTTTTTGAAAGTATGGGCCCAGAGCTGCTGCTTGGTAACGATCACAGAGCAGGTTAGGTCACCAGAGCATTTCTGGTCAGTGGAGTTGCCTGTTGATTTCTGGTCAACGGGCGACTCACAACCGTAGTGGGTCAGACTTATTCAGGCTTCTCGCCAGAGCTCGAGCATTAGAACAAAAAATCAGATATTCTGGGCATCATGAGTACATCAGAATAAACACCAAAATATTTATAATATTTACAACGCAAGAAACAACATGAATGTTAACTAAACAATGAAGTAGGAATATCTCACTTGAGGTTGTGGTCGGCGGCTGGGAGGGGCGGCACTGCCTCATCAGCAGGTCCTGAGCAGCAACAAATATTGGACAATACAAAAGCCAGCCAGGCGCATCATAATTAATTAATGGAGTACGGTATTTATTGGAGTAACAAAATGAGAAACATTTTACTATTATTACATTAAAAATGTGATGTGAGCTGAGGAAATGGCGCACAGTGATAATTATATAGCTTCTTAATAAATCATATTATTGACGACAAAAGCAAGAGTTTGTGGAAAAAGGATTGATCCATCTTCTTATAGAATATGTTTGAGGCTATTGAAAAATCATTAAATAGTTAGGATAGAAAAATTCAGAACCACTCAAGCTTTCCAGCATAAAAATATTTATGATAAAATCTCTATCTGCACATTGATGCTCAGTTGATTGAAAAACATGAGTTTAATTTTATTATTTCATGGCAACTACAAGATCAGAAGTGAACAAAGAGTAAGATACACATTAAGATGTTCAAAACAAAAAAGGTTTATAATGAAGCAGTTCAGGCATAGCATTCAATGTACAAGCATAATGAAGTAAGCTAAATATATTACCAAGACTGTGGTCTTCCTCGAGGCTGAGTTTCTTGAAGCTCACTCCTCCACCGCCAAGCCTGATGGCACCTTCTTCCCTGCAACATTGCGAGTCTTTCAAGCTTTGCAAAATCAAGTGACCTAAATTTTATTGCTGTAATTTGTAAAGTCATTTATCTGATTTGCAGCAAAATTACATTCAATAAAATAATGCAGCAGAATGAAGGATATTGTTTTACAAAATTGTTGACTTGCATTACTTTGAAAAGCACATAATCTTGCCACAAAAAGGCTGAAAATAGTTAACATATTTTGAGGTCATCAACTAAGGACTTGGTGAACGAATTCATTTGTGCGTGAAAAAATCTGAAGAAAGATCTTGAGATTTTTAAACAGATTGTCTGCGCTTGACAGTATTTATGGTATAGACATTGATCTTTAGATCATATAGGTACTGAAATTCACAAATAATTTAATGAAATACATAGCATTGAATATTTATTTAGCATTCAATTTAAGTGATCATATTCAGGGAGCAGACAAGCAAGGAGTATTCAGAGACAACTCACTGCAGTATTGCATGCGTGCTAAGCAGCTGCTGTAGTTGTGCATTGCGCTCCACTGAGCTGTTCAATCTCTCCTTAGCTTCTTCCAGCTGCTTGATGTGCTCTTCAGCCTGTCGTTCCAGGCGCTTCTGCAGCAATGACAGCTCAGTTCGTAGCATCAACACCTGCAATGTGTATAATGTGTATGAACACCAATAAATGCTGGGTTGATTTAAGGTAAAAACGTTTTATAAATATGAATGTCTTTTTAAAATAATGATTATAAATCCTCCAAGCGCACATGCAAAGCATAGGTGATATTCTTCAATCAGATTTTCTTTCATAATTAGTAAAAATTCCCTAGCTCATGAGCTGATCAGATTCAGGTTTTTAACCTAATCCAGGAATATTTGCTCTAAAATTTGATCTTGTTATTGACTGTGCATAGTGAAATTCTAAACTGAACCAAAATAAAGAAAAGGCTGGCTTACCTGCTTGGAGTCATCAGTGGTGGCATCTGATGGAGTGTCGCTGGAATGATCCCTGCAAAGATCTGTCAGCTGCTGTTCCAGTCTCTCATTTTCTGTAGCTAACTGCAAAATTTTAAAACAAAAATAGACACATAAACTTTGTTTTCATAAACCTAAAAATACAGTTTCAACATAAATCTCGATTTTACAGCCTTTAAATTCAGAACAGACTTTATAATCTTGAAAAAAATAAAACTAGAAAAGCATTCAAAACAAAATACTTCTTTAGTTTTGAAATTAGCCTCTCAGCAGAAATACCAATAACAATTTTTTTTGACAAGAATAGGTACACATCTCCCTAGCCCTGGGTATGCTCTGAATACAGGCAGTGGATTACTTCCACAAACTTTCGAGAAATTTTTGTACTTTTTAAAAACTGACCATGAGTTACATTAAAGAAAAAAGAAGTGTGAATAAATTGAATAATTGTAACTATTCTGTATTGGTAGATTAATTAGGTAGGTAGTCAATGAACACAATATTAATAGGTGAAATAAAAATGACTGGGAAAACAAAATTTGCATGAAAGTGTAAACATAATATTTATTTCAAGGTAACCTATTTTTTTTAATTTTGTCAACTTGATGCCTTAGTTTCTCTGCAAGCAGAAGTTGCTTGATAGCTCACCCTAGCAAGTTCCTGCAACAAGGTGCTGTTCTGCAACTTGAACTCTTCTTCCTGGTCCCTCAGTCTTGTCCTCAGGACATTATTGTCTCTGGTAAGAGCATCAGCCTCGGTTGCCTTCTTAGAAGCTCGAATGGCAATTGCCTGACGAGAACACTGTTCACTGAGGCTAGCACATTCTGTAAACCAAAGGTAACATTAATATTAGATACATTACATGTTTGCAGTGGTTACTCTTGACTTTTTGGGCCAAATTAGGCACGTGAATTGATTTCTCATGAAAGTAATGTTTAAATATTAGTTAGTAAGAACCTATAACTAAATTATTGTTATTTATGCTTATAGAATTTATTTTGCTCATGACCATATGTTTCATGTTAATTCATTTAAAATTACAAAGGCATATACCTTTAGGCTTAGAACTTCTGTTTGCTGGATTATAAATGAGATCAAGTCTAGTGACTTATGATCCAACAAGTTAAATTTTTCATGATAACCAGAATGTAAATAATTTTATTCCAGGACACAGAGATGGATATTCTCATCCTTCCTTTTTTAGTTGATTCTGTTTGTAATTAGTACAATATATAAATAGAATGAAATGGTTCCAGGGACACTTTTTATTCTTGTTTCCTTCTTATAAAATACCTAGTTTTTTCTACATTCCACACAAACAATAATAATGAAAGAATAGCATTTCATTTAGATACCGGTATCTAACATATGGATATCAGAGAGACCAATTTGGTGCATCAGGCATGCCAGTTCACAGATCCAGCCACAAAATACACTTTCATGGCTGTACAAATTTCATATGTTGCTTAAGAGTCAGTGAATAAAACAGACAATTGATGAATGCTGATGAACTAAAACTGAGAACAAAACAAGAATTCAGATAATTTCTCTATATGAAAATTAGATGAAACATGAGAGAAGTTTTGTAAACTAACTCATTACCTACAACTGTAGTAGAAATAAATGCATACTGGAGGTTCACTTTCAACGGTTCTATTCAATAGTCATCAAATTTGTTGCTACAGAAGAAAACTAAGCTTAAAAGAAAGTCATAAAGAATGAAATAAATTGATCACGGTTACCTTTGTTCTGCTTTTTTAGTCTGTCTTCAAGTGCATAATTCTTTTCTCTCAATTCCAGGAGCTGAGTCTGTAAATAAATAAACATGATATGTTAATAGAATTTCAGACTAATCCTGAAAATGCAATGCTGAAATATAAGCCAGTTATGCAAAGACACTTCTGCAATATCCTACAGTCTTCAAAATGTCAGAAATGTTTATTTTTTTATCAGAATTGTCAGATTTTTTTCACTTAGGAGTTTACTGGTCTAGTCATAGGACTCAAAAAGGAAGTCTAAATATGTATAATTTTGACAAATTTCTTATTATTTGTTAAAACACTTGGCTTGAACAGTTAGGAAGTTCAATTCTACCTAATAACTTGAAGCTGAATTTCTTGCATATTTAACTATTCTGAAAAATATGGTAGAAATTATTCATGAAGGAGACAAGAATGCTCAAACTTGCAGTCAATTTTTCAAAAGCCCTTGCCTTATTTATCATATAAATAAAAAAAAAACAGTTAATTTTTGCTAGCAATTTTTGGTAAATTATGTCTGATATTCCAGATTGGGTTATTCTTTTCCCTCAATAATGCATAGGTCACCACTTTTGAAATAAATTGTTCATATTGAAGACCAGCAACTCAAGTGCTGTTTGAAAGTTAGTGGCATTGATGGTAACATATCTGGAATATTGGGGCCATGGGCTTAGTTGGAGGAAATTGTAGTTGAAACTATCTATTCATAATGCATGAGTGATTGTAAAGAATTAAAGGGCAAATTAAATTATATTAATTTGCCATCTTTTTACCTTTATTAAAAGAAATAAGTTGGTCAGGGCTAGAGCTCAGGCTTGGAGAAATTCAAGGAGTATATAGTGTACATATTTGGCATAAAATATATCTTCCAATACTATGTGAGCTGTGACTAGAGCTTTCCATTTATAGCTAAATTTTTAGAGCTGCAAGATTCCCTCTAGATGAATTACCTCGAATCTAATTTTAATAAAAGTAGGAAGATTGCAATCCTGGTTCATATTATTTACAAGATTGAACCACCTAACATTAAAATTGGGCAGAAGCCACACTTGAATTGGACAAGAACACCTGTGAATCTGGCAAATTTTACCCATTACTATGACCTATCCTAAATTTCTTCAGGGCAAAATAGGAATAACAGCTTATGTTCACCCGCAATTTCCAAAAATCCTCAATTAAATAATCATTTTTGCCTGTAATTTCAGGGATCTCCTGTCTGAATTTCCAAAAAAGGCTGGAATTCTAGAATAGTGCATATTACTGCATAAAGCCTGTTATTTTTGGGGCAGATCCAGACTGTGATTGGATGTGACTTGTGTAATGGCCTCTCCAAATTGCTATGTGTACTATTGTGTACCATACTGGTTAATTCAATATCCCTTTCCAGTTTTGAATTTCAGCCTGGAATTTTTTTAAATAGGCCATTTCTCAATTTCTTTATAAAAAAAAAGAAAAGCCTATTTTCAAATGCAATTTTCAAAAATCATTTGTCAAAGAATTTTTATAATCCCCAATTTTAATAAATTCTGCCAATATTCCTAATATGGCTAATCCAAATCTGGTGTAGAATATTTCTAGCTCACAAGCTGCAACTAGAGCTTCCCAGAGATTTTTGGAGTCAAAAGAGTCCTGCTAGAGTAGACTGTAGATGAATTATCGCATATCTAATTGTTGATAAAACTGCACCATTGGGTAGCAAGATTCCAAATGTATTGAAAATTTGTTACTTTGGAGCTGCAAGATTTCATTTGTATGTAAGGAAATTCTAATCTATCTCCAAATTTGAAGCTTGACCAATGACCAGTGTCCAGTTTCAAAATATGAGCCAAAGATAAATTGGAAGTATCCTTTCAGATTTTTAAATCCAATAATATAGGTGCATTTGTTCATGTATTACCCTTTCCAAGTACCATCAACTGGGGTGACTTTGGCCAAATTACACTAGTTTCTGCCAATCAAATTCCTACAAAATAGGAATGAAGCGTTACTGGTGAAAAGTGGTGATTGTAAATTTGTAAATATATTACTGAAATGTTCTACTTTAAATGTCATGTCCAAATTATGTCACTTTTATTATTTTTTATTTTTCTTTAATTAGCTGAGTCTGAGTGTGATGTCACCTCGCAATGGGGTGACTTTGGTCACATGTGTTAAAACACAGTAAAAACGTAGTAAAAATTATTTCGTGGCCGAATTCAACCATTAGCGGGGTGACATAGGCCACACGGGTTATTTTAAAAAATGATAATCAATGCCACTGGGCACTGTGTATTATAAAAATTGAAACACAAAGATAACGACTCACATTTGTGAATCATATGCTTCATTAAGGCAGCTTTCTGTCAATTTCAATAGCAGCTGGACATGAGTTTGAAAAATCTAGTCCCCATGGGATCTGGAGCATTCTTCAAAAAACCAATGATGCTTGATAGTTGATAGAGGTACAACCTTTGAAGTTACATAAAGTGCGACCCTGTTTGTCAAAGTAATTTTTAACCAAAAAACGCAGATCCATACCGTGTACCGGTAGTGGGAAGCCTTAGTCTGATAGCAGACTAATGTTAATGTAGGATACCGTAAAATAGGGTTACTTTGACCGTCGGGGTAACTTTGACCACTTTTTGTTTTTTGACAAAAACCCCCAAAACTCAAAAACTATTTGACATAGAAAAATTTTGTCAATGGCCATCAAAGGCCAAATACTGAGGCTACGTATCACAATAGAAAGATTTAAAAAGTTTGCATATCTAATAGGTTAAAAAATTAATAATGTGACCCACGAAAAAGAGCTATTATTTAAAGCCTGTCGGAGTATCCCCTCAAATTTTTTTATTTTTTGGTAAAATACCTCCAGGTTTTGATGCATTGTAGTAGAACTCTTCTAGTTATATATGCACAAGACAAATTTTAGGAAAGTGTCATAGTTTGCAAATCAGCAAATGGAGGGCACCGCCCCCCAATGGGGGAACTTTGATCCCCTAATGGCAGCCGTGACGGGGTTACATTGACTGGATTGGAAATTAAGTTAAAATTACCATAGGTACCTATATAACATATTTTAGGTTTGATACACCTATTAATTTTTTTTCTTTATGTTTCAGACTCTACAGAGTCCTATATATGGTAATTTTAACTTAATTTCCAAGCCGGTCAATGTTAACCTGTCATGGCTGCCATTAGGTGGTCACATTTTGCCCATTGGGGGGCGGTGCCCCCAATTTGCAAACTATGACACTTCCCACAAATTTGTCATTTGCATATGTAACTAGAAGAGTTCTACTACAATGCACCAAAACCTGGAGTTATTTGGAGTTATTTTACCAAAAAATAAAATTGATTTTGCCACCTGGTCAAAGAAACCCGATGAGCTGGGGTAACAAAGACCATCACTTTCTTTGAAATTACATCAAAACTATGAGAGGCAGGAGCCAGCAATTTATGGTGAGTAAAGCTAGAGTAGAGAGTAGAGTATAGACCTGTATTTTGCATGTTTCAATTCAAGTTTAAATTATCTAGTAAAAAATTGCATAATTTTGAAAAAAAGTGGTCAAAGTTAACCCCTTTTTTTTTGCAGTACTAAATCTCACACCTCTGTAGGTTAAAGAGTTGACTGTCCTAAATTTTTTACATGACGGCCAGCACACCGGTCGCTCAAAGTTGAACGAGGGACTTTGCAGCAACTCAGAATATATCCTGTATGGCACAGAATCTAATTTACGTTTATAGCTGGGCATATTGCCTGATTATTCTAAACATTTATTGGCTGGCTGAAGTCACCCCATTTTGCCCATATGCCAGCTAATTTTTCAAGCATTTATATTACATTTGGTAAAAAAACATGTAGCCATTGATATACTAATCATAATACAAGATACCAAAATAAGTGAAACAAATCTGCTTCCAACATTCTTTTTTTCATCTCAAAATATTGAATTTTGCACTCAGCTTTTTTTTCTTTACAGTACTGTGGCATTCAGATCATGTAGCCGTGTAGCTAAAGCAGGATATAAAATTAAAGAAACAAAACGGTTTCCAATCTATAGATAAGGAAAAACTACATTGGATACCATTTTGTTCCCATAACATAACACAACTACAACAGAAACATATGGTATGGCGGCAAAACAAAATCATAAACGTTGGCCAAAGTCACCCCGGCCCCACAGCCTAATCAGTAATCACCCCAGTTGATAGGCCTAACTTGATTGTACTACCTTCTAATAGGCTTCTATCATGGACAATTGGACATGGCCATAGGATTTAGGAATGGGTTAAATTGATCATTCATGAAGCTGAATTTTAAATGATTGCAAATAATTACCTAATATAACTTATACAAGACTCACTTGGAATATTGAAAAATCCTCTGCATTAAATTGAGTCATTCTGTGGTTATATTCACAAAATTGACAAGCTGCATTTCTTGACTTGATAAAAATAGAAGTGAAAAGCAAATTTGTTTTTATACTTGTGTCATTTGGTAACTTTGGCAAAGCCTAAAGCCTGTAAAGTGTAAAGGGGTAGAAGTGAATCTCTCTCTCTCTCTTGTTTGATGCTTATTAGAGCTTTGGAGACGCATCCATGTAGCTCCACGTCTGCAGGGGGATTTGGCTGTTACAGAAGTCCCAGTATCCCACGTTTGCACAGGGATTTAGGTAGTCCGTGCAGCAGTCCCAGCAACTGTGTCTGTGTGCACATGAAAAATGTCATTAGTATAAAGCATCATAAACATTTTATCAATTAATCAACTAGAGCTCATATAATTGGGGTGTAAATTTCAGTATCATGTTCAGGGTAATAATTTGCTGAAGGCAGATCAGGGTACAAATGTGTTTCAAAATAAAGTGACATTTATTTGTTAAGAATTGCTAGCAGTTTGCTCTTCTAAAACAAAGGACTACATTAATAGCACTAAGCTAAATTGCCCAAGTTAGTAGCTAGAGGATGCCCTACCTTGTGCCACATACGAGAACCCAGACTCTAGGTGAGGGTCCAGCCTGGGCGGCTCAACCTGGAGCCTCCCCAAGTGAATCAACACAGGAAACTTTGAGGAGTCAACTTCTTATTTATTCTTAGTTAAGACTTAAGGGAGCACTGGAAACTGGTCTATGAAGCCCTGTGCCTACACAGGACGGTTCAGAAAATCTGAAAAACGGAATTAAATGGAAGAACAGGAAAAGAACCAAGAAACGGTATAATAATTTTCACAGGGAGAGTTACTAAGAAGTAAACGCTGCTAGGAAGAACAGATGTTCCACCGTCAAAATGTTACTATAGCTGGTAACTGATAAGATCATATTGCTCCTAGCCTCCTCCGTGCTAGATTAAAATAAAAATAGCGGTTTCAGCGTTTATTAGGCAATAGGCCTGTCGCCAATTCTTAACATCGCAGAACATTCACAGCTTGTTGCGGTCTCGAACTCACAACTCACTGCTACAGTTCTGCTGCGCTGAACCGCCCGGCCTCCTCGCCGATTCTGACCAGAAACTGGCGCACAGAGCTGGGATTGAACCCGCGCCTCTCTGCGCCAATCCTGGTACTCTGAACTTTAACCCCTGGGCCACCCCAGTGGTTAAAGTTCAAAGTGGTAATGGAACTATTATTCAAATTATTTGAAAAGTGATTTTGAAAATACAATTGTATTTTTCAAATTTTGGGCAATAATTATGGGTCTAAAAGGTAGTGAAAAGGTAGATTTGTAGCTCATCTTGTTGTTCTTTGCGCATGTTGTTGTTCTCCGCATTGTCAGGTCGAAAAGATAAGAACAAAACGTACATTTGATCTGCATGTCATGATCTGCTGTTAGGTGCCTGTACACAGGGATAACACTAGCCGCTAGTTCATCCGCCGCTTGAACTGTCCACGCTACTAGCCTCGTGTAGAGGGGTTCAGCCGCTTCAGAGGCATGCGCCGGCATCTGCCCGAGACGCGGCCAAGAGGAACAACGAAGTGTTGTTTACTGCGCTAGAGGGTGGAGAAGTGGCTAGTAGCGCTGATGCCAGCCATGGTGAGAGCATCTGTGCCGCCAATGTGAAGTATCTTGGGTCAAGTGAATCATGGCTTGTTTGAACGATAATGATTCCAAGAAGAAACCAACAAAGTGGATTCTAGACGATACTCAATTATTCTTTGAAATATTCCAAAAATATAAATTAAAGTGGAATATTTGCCAAGATGGTTACTCCAACAAAATGAAGAGAGAAACGAGTATTTTGAAACTGAAAGAATACCTTATTACTTGATAAGTTCGATGTAAAAGGCCTTGCGGCCTGTTCACCACGCATGGTTGGGGGGGTTGCTTCTTGACTATATGGCCTGGTTGGGTTGCTTCTTGACTATTTGTCGCATGCGTGGCTGGCACTAGCAGTTAGTCTAGAAGTGCCAAAAGGGGAGATAATGACAGCATTCGGGGTCGTACAGTTCTCTGCGTGTCGCCCAGTGCTTGTCGAGCCTGATCTTGAAGGCGTTGATAGAAGGGGGAGTGACGACGTTGTCCGGCAGGCTGTTCCATATTGATACGACTCGGTGGGAGAAGTAGCCGGCTCTGACGTTCAGTCTGCAGCGGCCCTTGGCGAGTTTCAGGCTGATCCCTCGGGTATCTCTGCCGTCGTGAAGGTGCAGCTGGGGCGATCAGCTTCGTAGGCGCCGTGGACGTACTTGAAAAAGTCCATCATGTCCCCTCTTAGTCTTCTATGCTCCAAGCTGGGTAGACCGAGCGAGGCGAGGCGTTCTGGGTACGGCTTGTTCTTGAGGCTTGCGATAAGCTTGATTGCCCTCCTCTGAACGTCCTCCAGGTCGGAGCACAGAGTCTTGTGCCTTGGCTGCCAGACTGAGTGGCCATACTCGAGCATCGGTCGAACGAGGAATTTGTAGAGCTGGATGAAGATCCCAGGCGTGATGAAGTTGAAGGTTTGCCTTATAACACCCAGTACTCTGTTCGCCTTAGCTGTTGCTTGCGCTACTTGGCCTTTGAAGGTCAGGTCCCTGTCGATCACTACTCCAAAATCTTTTTCGGTGTCGCTTTCCTTCAGTGGGGTCACGTACTCTTCGCCTTGAGCATTGCAGCCTCTCATGGTGCTACAAGTCGTCTGTGCGGCACTCTGTCAAACGCTTTCATGTAGTCCATGTAGACAGCGTCGATGGATCCTTCTTCGTCTAGAGCCACAGTCCAGATGTCTAGGGTCTCAAGAAGCTGGGTGACACAAGACCGCCCCTTGGTGAAACCGTGCTGCTTTCTGCCTGGGGCTTTGTCCTTCTTCAAGCTCGCCAACTGCTTCCTCACTGCCTCCTCTGTAATCTGGAAGTCTGGCAGCTCCCTGTCGTAGGCGTACTCAGGCATGTCACCTCCTTTCTCCTTTGTGAAGACGCTTTGAAAAAAATTGTTCAAAGGTCTGCCTTCTCTATGTCTGAAGTGGTCTTTGATCCATCCTCTTTTCTCAAGTCTGCAACGCCTGATCTTGTCTTTGTTTTGGCTTGAACGTACGACCAAAAAGACTTTGGGTGATTGTTTGCCTGGGCTGCAAAGGGTCGCCTCTAGTTTCCGCTTGGCAGGACGGCATGCTCTTGCTGCTTGGTTTCTGGCTTTGGCGTTCGCTCTGTAGTCCTCGCCTGCTTGTGTCTGCAGCCAACGCCGGTACAACTTGTGTTTCTTGCGGACAGAGGTCAAGGTTCCACAGTCAAGCCATTTCTTCTTCTGTACCGCCGAGTTTCGGACTTACGGTTCAAATCTCTCGATCAGGTTTTCCAGGTGTGTCCTGAAAGCAGTACATGCCTCGTTTACATCTGAAGAAGTGGATGGTTTGGGTGGTGGTTGGGTTTTGACTAAGATTTTTCTACAGCAACCTTCCCTCTTCTCTAATTATTTGATGGTCACGTCTAGTGGGGTTGTAGTAAAGACGATGAAGCTCAGATAGTTTATTGGTGTTGAAGAACGAAGACGCCGACCGACCCACACCTGTATCAGTGTGGGCCGTTAGAATCTACATGACCAGAACACAATGAAATAACAATATCAGAAATACAAATGATTCAATTATGACAGTTACAGTAAATTGAAATGTTTATGGCATGAAAATAATTGAATTGTAGTGAAGAACTTAGCGTTTTACCCCCTTAGATGTTCACCCCACGCGTCGTTCAGAAAAATGACTCTATAGCTAGGGCGCGCTTGGCAAATGGTTCTCCGCTGTCGTTCTTAAGAAATTTCACAATATTTTTTTTGGTACGATTCAACATAAAATAATTTCGACATTTACTAAACATTTTATCATTCAGGAATTACACTAGTGTTATTAGTGCTCAGAATTGATGATTAACTAACTGTATATTTTTATAATGGTATAATAATGAAATTGATAAAATCCGAATTAAGTAATCGAGATCAAGATAATTAAGTAAGATATTGTTACAGAGGTCCATAATCATGAGTTTAAAGGTTTAATAAAAGTAAATATGACATTCAAGAGGAATGCTAGTGCGAGGTGTGAAAGCGAGTCACTACACATCCTTCTCTCCCAGTTCCTCATCCCAGATAACGCGGTCGAGGTCCTCCCCCATCCTGCTGTAGTCTGCTTTGAGAAAGTTTGGTCGCGCTTGCTTTTTCGGTTTCTGATATTTGCAGGCGACGTTCATGAGGAGTGTGGCGTGGTCGCTTTAACCAAGTGCTGAGGCAGTGGTTATCTAGTTTACCATGTCCTACAGGTTGTCAATACCAAGTCGTCTAGCGTTGAGCGCTGGCCGTCTCTGAACCTAGTTGGCTCTCTCTGGTGCTGGATAAGGTAGGTGTCCTTAATCACAGCGAGAAGCTTGCTAGCAGGGTGGTTTGTGCTTGCTCTGCTTAATCCTTAATTCTTTCTCCCAGTCGTGAGAAACTTGCTGGCAAGGTGGTTTGTGCTTGCTCTGCTTAATCCTTAATTTTTTCTCCCAGTCTATTTCTAGAAAATTGAAGTCGCCTAGTACGAGCAGGTGCTGGGGTTTAGCCTCTGTCACCGTTCTCAGTAGTTGGTTCAGGTTCTGGTTGTCTTCTGAGCTACTGGGGCTGCGGTAAACAAGGCCTATGATCCCCAGGTTTCGCTACTGCTGAGTTTACAGTCGACAATTTATACGACAAACATGCACTCCCTTAAAGTCAGTTTTCACGTCTTTGCCCCGTTGCGCGTTAAGCTCACTTCTGTTTTGCAGGCAGATTCCTCTTCCTTTGCTTTCCAAATTGTGTAAACTTTCAAATCCTTGAAGGGAAATCTCACATTCTTGAACGATGAAACGCTGGTTCTTTGGTTTCACCTTAACTATTCCAAGTTCCAACCACAGATGTTCGGAGAATGTCTATGAGGGCATCTAGTTCATCAAGCTGTCCGCGTTTGTGTATAGACACACGACTGAGTCCAATGGTTTAAAAACGTTAAACGCATTTAGTTTTGTTCGTGCTAGTAGAAGAAGAAAAAGTGCTTGTATGGTTAAAATTATGTGCAGATGAAATTTTGTTGGCTTTGTTCACTCTTACTGTTGTGGTGGGTATTTGCCCACGTTGACCACCTTGCTGTTTTTCCTCACCCACTTGGCGATGTCGTCCCCCGCCGCTCTTGATTGTTCATGTTTCTCTTTCATTTCCTTGAACAGTGCTTCTTCTTCTTTCCTCTCCGTAGGGGTCAAGTCTTTCCTTGCACTTATCTTCATGCATAGCCTATCATCCCGGTGACCGCCCAACCCGTGAGCCTCATTTTTTATCTTGCGAATGGCTTGCATAACCTCATCCCTGTCTGACTGGCAGAGGTGGGCAGTAGCGCGCTACATGTAGCGGCCGCTACATTTTCAGTAGCGGTAGCGATGCTACATTTAAGTAATTGTAGCGGTAGCGCCAGCTACATATTTAAGTAGCTATACGAGGTTTTGCCGCTACAGCGCTACCGCTACATTTATAGATAAAGCCTTTAGATTTTACTTAATAGTATTAAATATTATTCAAAAACCAGCATGATACATGCAAAATCTAAATTACAGAAAAAACTGTACGAAAGATTTCGGTGTAATGTTGTCAACCTCAGCCTGGTACTAGTGTCAACATGTTAGTTGTTCCCAGAGGTGGGCAGTAGCGCGCTACATGTAGCGGTAGCGGCGCTACAATCTTATGAGTGTAGCCGTAGTGCCCGCTACATTTAGAGCATGTAGCGGTAGCGGCCGCTACATTCCAAAGTAGCGCT